GGCATAGAAAAAAGCGGTGATATAAAACAATTTCTAAAGCTTTGCGTATTCCCAGGAGTACGGTGGCCTCAATAATTGTGAAACGGAAGACATTTGGAACCACCAGGGCTCTCGTTACAGTTGGTTGTCCTGCCAAACTGAGGAACTAACTGGGTAAACTGGGAGGTGACCACTCACTCTAACAGCCGCTTTGATTAAAAGGCAGATGACAGCCCGCTTGGAGTTTGCCAGAAGACATTTAAAGGACTCTGAGTGGCATGAGGAAAAATGTTCTGTTGTCAGATGAGACAGAAATTTACCTCTTTGAGCCAGATATGTTCCCCAGCTACAACACGGGGGCCAGCTGTGGCTCAGGAGGTAGAGCGGGTCATCTCCTAACCGGAAGGTTGATGGTTTGATTCCCGGGTCCATGTCAAAGTGTCCTTGAGCAAGACATTGAACCCCCCCATTTGCTCCCAGTGATGTGCTTGGGAGTGTGAATGGGTGAGTGGGCAAATAGTGTGAAAGCGCTTCGAGTGTGCTTCAGTGCATAGAGAAGCGCTATACATGTATAAGACCTTTAACACGCAGGTCTGAGTCAAGTCTGAAGTCTTTAAATTAGAGTCCGAGTCAAGACTCAGGTCTCTGCATCCAATACTGTCCCTCTGACCTGCCACAGACTATCTAACTCTTCTACTGTTGAATTCTGTGATCAGTATAACAGATCTAAACAAATGTAAACAATCTAAAATCCAGATATTGTGCACTTCCAAGGCAAACAGAAGGTTGACTGATACAATACACTCACACCCAGCTAAGACTAAAGCGGTCCCATTCAGCAGCCCTGTAATAAATCCCCCTTCATGAGGGGGATCATGTGTAGTTTGTGCTGATTCAACTGTATGATGATTTTGAAATGTACTCTATTTTTAAAAGATGTTTCAATTAATTTGTCCACCTCGTTTATATCTAGGCTAGGTTAAATAAAAGAAACCGCTCTCATAATAAGTTATTGTTTAACAGCAGCACAAGCAACAGCCTCCAAAATGATCATGCAGTTTCAAATATGATAAAGCTAACATGAACCACTGACATTACACAACATCACTGGAACTACACGTTAACGTACTTTGGGGACACCTACAACACTGACTTTACAACTTGGCCGTAGTCCGGTTATCTTTACCCACATTCTTTACCGGAGGAAGTTTTGAAATCCTCAAACCCAGTGGATACAACTTCTGGTATCGCTCCCGTCGCCAACACACGTTGGCACCGCTTGTTGTTGTTGTGTGTTGTGTTCAGGTGTCACACGCCGGTAACTGGCAGAAGCACCGTGTGATGCGTTAAAGGACCACCGAAGGACGTAAAAACCAAGACTTCTGTCCTGCAGACTCTTGACAGTGTGTTCGCGAGTTATAATTCACTAGTCCGAGTCAAACCTGGAGTCAGTTTGGGATGTGGAAAGTAAAGGAGTCCGTTTTTTGTGGGACTCGAGTCGCCAGTTGCTCATCATCTGGCTAATACCCAGTGGTGGAAAGTAACTAAACAGCTCATATTTACTCAAGTAGACTACTTAGACTAGGCTACTTGAGTAAATGTAAGCTGCTTAAGTGCAATTTTGAGGTATCTGTAGGTTACTTGAGTATTTTCATTTCCTGCTACTTGATATTTTGACTTCACTAGCCTATTTTGCAGAGTCCAATATTGTACTTTGTATTCAATTTATTTGATGTTTAGTTACTAGTTACTTTTTATAAACAGATTAATTATACAACATACACTATAATCATAGGACTTTGTTTATTCCTGGTGGGAAATTCATAAGATACCCAGCAGCATGTAAAGTCACTGACATTATAAGCTATAGTTAAAAATAGCTCCACCTTTACCAGCTGCAAGATTAAAAGTGATGTGCACAATGATACATCAAAAATTGTAATGCAATAATATGATATACAGCCATGTGTAATGTACCGTTGTGCACAATGAGTACTTTTACTTTCAGTACTTCAGTATATTTTGGTGATAATACTTTTGTACTTTCACTTAAGTAATATTTTTATGCAGGACTTTTACTTGTAACAGAGCATTTTTACACCGTGGTATTGCTACTTTTGCTTAAGTAAATAATCTGCGTACTTCTTCCACCACTGCTAATACCATCCCTAAGGCGAAGTGGCAGCATCCTGGGGTGTTCCTGGAGACTGATCAGATATGAATGAAGGATGAATTCAGATAAGTACTGAGGTCCTTGAAGAAAACCTGCCGGCAGTGCTTATAAGGATAAGGATAATCACCTTTATTGGCCAAGTATGTTACACACAAAGAATTAGTTTCTGGTACAGAACCGATAGAGATTTACCCAAGAAGACTGGAAGCTGCAGCCTAAATTCTGCCAAATGGACTTTTACAAAGTTCTAAATTAAGGGTCTGCATACTTTTAGAAATGAGATTCAAGTTTTTGATTTTTAATACATTTGAAAACAAATAAAAATATGTTTTGACTTTGTCGTTGTGGGTTAGTGCGTGTAGATCTATGGACAAGATTGACAGTTTAATCTACAAAAAAAAACTGCGTGTGCAAAAAGTGAAACAGTCTAAATACTTTATGAAGCCACTGTAGTTACCCAGAAACAATATTACCATAACCCGTCATTACTGAATTTGTACTGTAATTTGAAAACATATGTAACTTGTAAGTCCCTCTTAAACACAAAGTTATTACTGCCTTACAACCTAACCTCGTCTTTTTTTACATACTGTACATAAACAAAATATTTGCACTATAATGTGCACAGTGAAAATGTTACATTTGTAATGACTTGAAGAAATGTACAAGTTAAAAGAAGTTAGGCTCTGAGTCACAAAATGAAGGACAAAAGTAAGGTTTTATCAGCATAATAATATTTATATTTCTCTATATTTTAGACCGTTTATTATTATCAGACATCCCTCCCTCCCCCTTGCCTTTTACTTCACCATACTTGCAAGCATAAATGCACATTAGTGCACAGAAATACATGGGCAGTCATGCACACATAGCATCTTCCCTCAGTTGTTACATTTATGACAGAGGATGAGAAAGAGTTGTGAGCAGTGAGTGGAGAAGCATCTTTTCTGACAATCTGCAGAAGTGAAGTTGCTTAGCAACCTTTGGCCTTGGTGACAGCAAACGATGTCATACTTGCAAGACGAAACACAAGCAGATACACAAATACACAGATTAACAGGTGCAACACATGCAGATGTGCAGACACAGGCAGAGCAAACCTTGTAAGATGGTTGATGAGAGGAATAATGAGCTCTGATGATAATCTGGACAGGGGTTAAAACAATATATTAATCTTCTCTAATGTGTTTGCTGATCTGAGTCCATTAAAAATGACCTTACACACACAAACAGGTCTAAGCTGGCAATGAGCTTTTATGTACTGCTGTTTGAGGGAAAACACGTCAGCTGCCGCTCTCTTGTTCCTCAGTGTTCCCTCGAACAGTGTGAACCCCCCTGCCATCAGACTGTGTTCTCTGTGATCCACCAGTCACGTCAGCCCTCCCACTAAGTACACACACTTATAACATGCACACACACACACACACAAACACAATGACTGTTATTGCTGTGTGCTCTGGGTGGGAGAGATAGTCACACATGGGCTTGTATTTTCCAGCTGAGGCATATGAGGGAAGATTTTTTTTTATTTTTATTGTTAATCTGTTTCCTTTCCATTTTAAAAGTTGTAGGACTGACAGCTCCACACAGTGTTCACTCTGTCTCACTGCACTCGTTTGCTTCTGGGATGTTTTACTTCAACTGTTCATATTTGGAAAGGAACGAGCTGCCAGAGTCCCTGAAACTCACCAGTGTGTCTGAGGAACTGCTTTCAAGGCCAAACTCCTTCCTGTGAAAAATCCACTTTGTTTCCTTGAATGTATTATATTCAGTGCTGCAGTGTCTTTAATACTTTTCTGTAGTATGTTGTTTAGATATGTTTCATTTACACCATCTTTTAACAAAATATATTTTAATGGAAGGTCAAGTTGATTATTACGTCTATGTGGCTGCAACTATCCAAAGTCACAGAAAGCTTTTTATAAAATCTTATTTTACTATGGCTTTTTGTGTGGAAGATTTATAGGACTTTTTTATGTGGTGAAATAATTTTGGTTATAATGGCCATGTCTATAAATTACATCAATATTAGTTTTACTTTGGCTGGAAGGTAATCACTCAATTTAATACTTGGCTTCGCTAAACAAAAATCTAGTCATGTTAATTTTTTAAAAAAAACAAATTAGTATCCTGGATATAAAATTCAAAACATGCTGCAAGCGATTTGACTGTCCATTGTTTGTATCAGCCAACAAAGGAAAAGTTGGACTTCTCAATTAGCCTAAATATAAAAAGGATAAATATTCTTTAAAGCAATCCACCTGTGTTTTTACATGGGAAGCTGAGGGGAACAAAATGAATCCCTGCAAGCACAAGAGACAAATGCATGCTCTACATATAAACAACAGGTCTCAGCGTGCAACATGAATACATTGCACTCGAGCAAAATGTCTGCATAATTACTCAGATTTGAGGCGACTGTCTCACACTTTCAGGTAAAATTAGTGAGTATCCATGTAAAATTAAGTTAGAGTGCACATAAATGAAATATGAAGATGTTTTCTTCCCCAGTGTGCTACTGCAGCACCACAGTTATTGTACTGAATAAGATACATTTTGATCTTTTGTACTGTTACTTCATTATTACTTTCAACACTATATCTATAATTATATGTAACATTGATTTTCCTATACTTGCTGTTGGATTAAAGGGATCCATTATGAGAGTACCAGTGGAGTTAAGAGTTAACATTAATTGCTCTGCATGTTGGTGCTTTATCACCCCTCCTACCCCCTGCTAGTTTGGTGTTCTCTAGTTCGCGCAGGTTTCCAAATCCATACTTTAAAAAAAAAAAATTACAATACACATGAAACTCTTACAAATACCACGAACGGGACAAATATTTCCAATTTATTACAACTGAAAGTTCAAAAAATTGATTAATAACTCAAGGCATTTTCATGAGTCAAAACATTTTAATTAAAAAAGAAAACTCATTTGTAAGAACTTCACTTCCAACAATTCGTTCCGTTTCTGTTCTTTACACTCCCACACACACACACACAGACACACACTCGCTCCCACAAAGCAATACCGCTTCTGTGCCTCTGAAACAGGAACACACAATCTGATTTGCATTATTAATAAACATCCTAGATTTCTACAGTCCAGTGGTGCGTGAACGGTCAACTTGAACTTCAAGGACCACACTGGTGAGTTTGCAAGTTTTAGCCCATTAATCACAAATGCTTTGCTGCCAACCATTTCCAAATGCTCATACTCCTCCGGGTAGCTACTGGCTTTCACTTATGTCAAGTGCTGTAGGAAAATGACTTGGGTAATTATCTGAGAACATTTTGTCTCAATTTTGTATTTACATTAACTTAGGACCAAAAAAAAAAAAAAAGCCTAAAAATGAGCTTATCACAGTGAAAATGGTTGGGAAAAGGCAAAAAAGCAGATTTGTAGTTAATGTTCTTAAACATGCAGAGCTGCTAGTGTAGTCCTTCAGAAAGAGCTTACAACGGCCCTCATAGCACTGATAGTTATCCGGTATTTAAACCCTGAACAGCACTCAGGGATGTGAGCAAAACAAACTGAAGGAAAATTATTACATGAAGCAACACTTCAACTCTATTTACACATTAATCAGAGGCAAAGAAACAGAAATTCCTCCTCTACAAAGAAGCAATCACATCCCTGAGTACAGTTTGCTATTCCTACCATTTAGATTCACTGCTGTGTGATCAGTTATTATCATCAAGTCCTTTCTGGCCGGCTCAACATCGATCACAGCGCAGCACCGCAGAGGTCCACATTAAACATTAAAGAAATTTCAGCGAAGCTCATAGTGCTGCAATCCAGACAACATGGTTTAAGGAGCTGTGATATTATGTGTCAAAGTAACAGCCCTCCAACGGTGTCAGGGACAGTCAAAAACAGGCGAGTCGCACATTAAGCAGCATGCCAGTGATGCATCATTGTCTCTTCAACAAAGGTTACAGATTTTGGCCAGCAGGCTCGGACACTGCTAGCATAGAGTCTCTTCTGCTTTTTCTGTTTTCTCCTCTTGCTCCACATCTTTATCTTTGCTTTTGTTCTTTTTGTGTTTCTTTTTCTTGTGTTTGTGCTTGTGCTCCTTCTGCTCTCCGTTTTTGTCCTGACTGCTGTGCTTCTTGTGCTTCTTGTGTTTTTTGTGCTTCTTGTGTTTCTTCTTCTTCTTGTCCGCTGTGGTTGCTGACGTGCTGTGGTTGCTCTGGGTGGGGCTGCAGGAGGGTCGGCTGAGGGATGGAGTGGCGGTGCCACTCCTTCCTCTCTCTGGCTCGGAGCCTTCACCTTCGCTGTAATCGGGGATGAAAGCAGCCTCATCTGTCTCACGACCCAGGTCAGAACTCAGACGCTGTCTCCTGGGCTCTGGGCCTCCTCCACCTCTGCTTTCTGTGGCTCTCTCCTCCTTCCCTGTCACCCCTCGTCCCTCCTCTCTAGCTGCAGCTCTCCCTTCTTCTCGCCCCACTCTCCCCTCCTCCCTGACATTTTTTGCTTTGGATGGTTTCTCAGAATTTGCATGTGCTGCCCTGCCACCCTTCCCCTCTTCCCTCTGTGTTCTCCCTTTCTTCTCCTCCCTCACCACGCCTCTCCCCTCTCTCCCCTCCTCTCTTGTGGCATCCCGGCCTCCGCTCCTGACAGGTTTAGGTGGTTCAGTCTGCCCTTCCCTGCCTCGGCTCTTCTGAGGAACTGGTGAGGGCTCCTTGGGTACACTGACTTCGTTTTCCTGCCCCTCTTCATCATCTTCTCTTTCCCACTTAGAGCGAGGGGGGGCCCGAATGACCGGCTCCTCCCTGGCCAGGCTGGGAGTTGGACTGACACTCGGACTCCGGCCACGACTGTTTACAGGGATAGGTGGAGGCTGCTCTGCAGGTTTAGAGGATACACTGTTCTGGTCTTTTTCTGAGTTCCGCTTTGTCTCTTGAGTCGACCTGCTGAGGACAAATAAACATGTTTGTGTTGAAAATGAAAACACCATTATACTGACAGCAACAGCAGAATGCCTGAATGATTCACCCGTAATAAAAAATGATTAATGACATGTGGTAACTGCAACAAAAGGAAGGATGGATGATGGTTTTCATAACGGCATCATTTCATGTATGGAGTGTGCCTTTCAAAACGAGTTCCTACAGCTATACCACAGTTCATTCTTCTTAAAGATACAGTCTAGCTACAGCACACCGGTTACACTGTCCATTGATTTTGCTAATATAAACTAAGATGAAGTGACACTTAAAAAGGTTTATCAGGTTATTCTAGATGTCTGAACACTTAGCCCCAAGCTTATGCCTCTCATGTATTAGGCTTCATTGAAACTCAGAGATGAACCGCTAACGACTGTTTGGAGTCTGAAAAGGTCCACATGTATTGATTTTTGGTTTATCAGCAGGATCTCTCTGACTCCAGTGTAGAGTAATACAAAAGAGGTACAGGCTGGGGCTGTGGGTCTGAAAGGTTGTCCGTTCTGGATATTTCTGAAAAGTGCTCCAGAAGCCTTATAGGGGCCAGACATGTTTAATTTACTGAGTTCTGCAAGATATTGTTTTATGTATTATGAATTAAAGTGCACAGTAAACTTGGATGGCTTTAAATCCATACTGCCAGATTCATCTTGGCTTACACTATTCCTGGCAATGTGGTGGTACGAAGAGTTGCATGATGACCAGAGCTCTATACCAATGCTGATACAACACAAAAATGAAAACTCAAATGGCCTGTCAGTAACAGGGTACAACAGACTCACCTGGAGGAGCCCACAGTGTGACTTGTCAGAATCTTTCGGCTGATCCTGGGCTTGTTCTTCACAACAGGCTGTTCACCACCTTTCACTGCTGGAAGAGGAAGTGTGAGCAGTAATGGAGATAGGCTTAATCAATGCATAATTAGAAGGCACAAGACAAAATCAAAGTTCTGATCTCTTCACAAACACCTGCACTCGTTCAGTGATTCAAATTACCTTCTCTGTGAGCAGAAACTGGCTTCTCTCCTGAGGGCACACTCCGCTCTGCTCTGTCCTTGGACACACTCCTGGGACAAGGAAACATAATTACATGTTACATAACAGCTGTGTTTACAACAAAAAAGCACTATATCATGTTGTCTTTGTATTGTGGATATGAATGGTGGTTTGACAAGCAGCAGAGAAATGTAACACACCTGTCAGATTTAGCAGCTCTTTCTGACCCCTCCCCTCTCTCCTTTGAGGATATGCTTGGTTTCTCCTGATGGTCTGCCTGTCTCCTGGTGATGGCTGATTTCTCTCCAATGGTCATTTTGTCCAGGGAGACAGACCTTCCTCTTCCACTTGCTCCGCTGGTGTTCTTTCGGTCTGTCCTTACTGACCTCTCTTCTTCGGCATCTCTCTCCACTGTATTTGCCACCTTCTGTGAGCCTGACACCGAGACCCTGTCCTTCTCCCTGTCAGACCCCTGACCTCTGTCTCTTTCTCTGTCTGATCCAGATCTATCTCGCTCTCTCTCTAGTCCCGAGTTTCTGTCCTGGTCTCTGTCTGAGGCCTGCAGTCTCTCTCCAGCACTTCTGGGTCTCTCTCTAGAAACTCCCTTCTCTGCAGATGACGAGCGCTCCTTTCTTCCAACTCCTTCTGTAGTACTGCTGGGTCGTTCTCCTTCAGAGATGTCAGCAACAGCTGATCGGTCTGAGGTAGACTTTGTCTTCTCAGGAGCTGATGGTTCTCTGTCTGAAGCTGCTGCCTCCGTGCTGCCTTTTCTTCCCAGATCTCTATTCAACTTAATCTTCCTCTGGGTCTGTGTCTTAAACTGGAATTAGAGAAAAGCACACACAAAATGTTACAAAGGGTTAAAAATCACTGCTAAACAAGGAAAATTAGAGTGGCAGGTAAATTTGATTGTACATTATTGATCAATGATCAATCAGAGGTCCAAATGACAAACTTATTTAATTTACTGGCACATCTGTATGAACTGATAAACATTTGTAAATACCAACATGTTTCCTAGGACCCACCTGAATGTCCATTAGAGGTCTGATAGCGCCTCTCTCTGCGTCTCCCCGGGCCATCTCACGGCTCCCTGATGGGGGAAGAATACCAGGCCTGTCTAAGGGAAGTGGGGATCTCTGGAGCATGGACTGGTGAGACATGTGTGACTGAGGAAGATTATCATCTATTCTCAGCAGCTTTCCAGGAGGAGGTCCAAATAAATAGTGGCTCTCCTCTCCCATCCTCCTCCGACTGCCAACTGGGGAGAGAGCTCGGTGGAGGACTTGGAATCCGTGTTGTTGGGGAATGGGTAGGAAACCTCTGCCCTGTGGAAGATCTCTTCTCCCCCTAATGTCATGTCCAGGTCGAAGGCCATCATGAAGAGAAGGAAGAGGTGGAGGCAGGTTCTGGGAGGATAGTGGAGAAGTCTTCAGCGGGGCAGGTTTTCCTGCAGAGCTTTTACTCTTGTCCTTTTTAGGGACATTTGAGTTGGAAGCATCCTCTGGTTTAGCTTTAATGGTTTTTAATGGTTTAGCAAGAGAGGATGAGGACTCTCTCTTTTTGGTCACCACTCCTTCTCCAGTCTTTTTCTTTACCTTGTCACTCTTTACCTTCGCACCCTCTGTATTTACTTTTGCTTTTACCTTCTGACTCTTTTCTTTCTTAGCCTTATCAGACTGAGTCTTTGATGTCGACTTGCTTGAGGGTTTAGCAGGTGCAGCAGCACTTTTAGAAACTGGAGCTTTAGTGCTAGCAGCGCCAACTGAAGGCTTTGAGGAGGTGGGAGGCGTTTTAGTGAGTGAGGGGACATCATCCATTGGTTCGTCTCTGACAGGAGTAGCATCACCTCTGTCCACTGACTGATGTGATGGCTCTGGATCTTCCCCAGGCTTCCTCTTTTTTACTTTCTTTGCTTTCACAACTTTAGTGCTGGACTTGGCTCCTGATGAGGAAGAGGATGGAGGATGGTGAGGGGGGACACCATCTCTCTCTTCTCTCCCTCTTCTTCCTCTACCCTGGGGCGAGTAATCTCTGGACAATGAGGACAATCTGTCCCTCTCTCTGTCTCTGCCACCATGACTTCTGTGATGCACTGAGGGATGTTGGTTGTCATAGAACTTGGTGTACATGTCTGGGTAGTCCTTATCCCACTGCTGTCGATACCGTTCTCTTTCCCAGCGCTCAGGGCCACCAGGACTTTGACCCTTCAGTTCATATGGTAGGTGCTCCCGAAGAGGTGGCTTTCGTCCACCAGGGCTACGGCTCCGGTAGCCACCAGGCGAACGAGACCGTGACCTAGACCTGTATGGTCCCATTCCTTCTGCTCCCTCCCAGCTTCCACCCCGGTAGGAGGGAAGAGACCGTGGTGAGCCAGAGCGCCGATACCCATAAGACCTTGAGCGGGAGCGGGAGCGAGTCCGTGAACGCCCATAACTACGTCCATTGCGTCTAGAATAAGGGGAGCGGGGATAAGACCGACCGTGAGAGCGTGAACGGGAGCGGGATCTGCTGGGAGTGAAAGAGTAAGACCTGGATCTTGATCTCGATCGCGATCTTGACCTAGAGCGAGAGTATGGAGAACGGCTGAATGGAGAGCGACTGTATGACCGAGACCTAAAAACACAAATGGCCAAGAACAGCAGAAAGAAACAAGGGGAGAAACAATGGATTATGCAAAAAATGAACCAAATGGCTAGAGATTATACTGTACATGTGTAATTCATGTATATATTAAGCCATTTTTAATGAAGTTACCTGGAATAAGATGGTCTTCTTCTCTTTGGTAGACTTCTGTATTTCATAAGCTCTTTGTGGAAGTCTTTAGTAAATTCATCCAGTTTAGATGCAACTCTGTCGACACAAAGACAAAAACACAAACTTTAAAAACTACTGCAGTGGGAAACTTTAATATCTTTTATTTGAATTCATAATCTCAACCCAGAGTGTTTTAGTAGAATTTCCACATAAACAAGTAGATGCTTTAACTGGTTAAAGGAGGAAAAAAAAGGAGTAAAAGAGACGACTCACTTGTCCTGTCGGTGCCGCTGTCTGTAGAAATCTTCCTTTGAGAAAGGCGGTTGAGAGAGGGAGGGTGGAAGAGGGGCGAGAGGGGGTTGGGGAACAGGGGCAACCCAGGGAGGGTTGAGCCCTGGTGGTCCAGGGGCAAAAATAGGTTGGGGCTGGTAACTGATGACAGGAGGAGCGATAAGGCCAGGGCCAGAGGTGTACGGAGGGGGGTAGGGCTGCGGTGGGGGCTGGTACAGGGACGGGGATGGGTATACTGGTGGAGCAGGTGCAGGAGGTTGAGGTGTCGGGAGGTGAGTAGAGTGGTGCTCTCCTCTACCCGTGTAAGACCTGGTACACACACACACACACACACACACACACACACATATATATAAAAAAAAACACACACACACACACATATATATATATATATATATACACACACAACTTGAAGCTTACATATTACAATACAGACTTTGAACAGATCCGATAGTGCCACAGATGGGTCATACCTCTCCCATTGTCTGTTTCCTCCTCTGTGAGAGTGGTGGGGCCGTGGCTGGTGACCTAATGGAGCAGAACCAGTTCGAGAGTTCCTGAATGCCCTTCCTTCAAACTCACTCAACCTCCTTAACTGACCCAAATTGAACCTCTTACCTGATGGATGAGGCAGCCTTGTAGGTTGCGGGTGGCCAATAACGGTTAAATGGTAGTTCTGTGTGAGAAATGATAGAAAAAAAAATCACCACCACCAACCCCCAAAGAGAAGTTAGATTTTTTGCTTTCACATATGTCCTAACATGTACCAAGAGTAGTCAGAAGTCTCCAAGTTTTCCAGACTCACCTGAGAGTCCCTTTCTGAGGTAAGTGATGAGCCTGCTGTCACAACAGGTTCTGGATCTGTCTCCCTAAAACAAACAAGCAGAAACATGTGATGACTAGAAAATTGGCTCCCGACATCAACATTACTTCCAAAATATTTAGTTTAATGTAGGTGTATAGATCATACTTTAGGCTAAACTTACCCCGGTGGGGGTGGTTCACCGTGGCTAGTAGAGTGCATAGGAGAATGGTTGGCAACCACAGGTGCAGGAACTGGTGAAGCACCTTCATCTTCGACAGCTGCAGCAGGAGGAGGGGTAGGAACCCCAGGAGCAGCAGGAGCAGCAGAAACAGCAGAAGCAGGAGCAGCAGGTGCAGGGGGCGATACCTGTGTTTGAGGGGCGGTGGTGGGTACACTTATAGGAGGTGGAGTGACATTGACCAGCAGTGGGTCCTGCTGTCTCGAGTGCAGAGTCCTGACCATCTGAGGGCGCGGTGGAGGCGGGGCTGCATGTTGGACCTGCTTGCGTGCACGTTTGGTGTACCCCGTTTCATTCTTAAAGTTGTTCACAGCCTGCATCAAGACAAAACAGACAATACATCATTTAAAGACATTCTAGTTTGGCTTTGAGTGACAAATACAACACAACAAAATGTGTTTGGAGACAATACCTGTCGCAGAAACTTGTTGGCGATGAGATTATCAGGTGAAACATCCAACTGTTTGCATGTAAAGCAGACGTGCTCCTCCGAGTCCAACAAGGCAGTCCGGATACCTGAAAACAAAATCCACAGACAAAAGCTTAAACTGTTGTTCAGATGACGTGCACAGAAAAACAAACTTGGGTCTTTACAGCTTTATTATGATGTGCTTTTTGATGATAACATCCCTTCAACCTGCCTAGTCTACACACATTTTTTGCATCATTTTCTACTTTTCAACAGCCCCCAAAATCTGGAGCAAAGTCACTCCAGTAGACAGCGAAACATAAAAACAAAATTTCCAGCCATCATATCAAAATTAGAGTGGATGCACTATGGCCTGGGGCTGGACTGTTCTAGGAACAGGCCACTGTTTGGTAAATGTGTATTTCTGCCATTTCCACAGTGATTTTGTCTCTGAAGACCAATGAATATGCGTGCAAAACAAAAAATTAAAGAACATATTGGTGGTGGGAGCAAAACAGTCACATAGGTGAGTTAATTGTGTTTGGCAAAAACATCCTACATTTGTTTTTGTTATTCTAGAAATTTGCAATCAAGATTTTTATTACCCATGAACATTACAAGTAAGAACTCACACTCATCACAGTAACTGTTTCCACAGCAGGGTATAACTACAGCATCAGTCATCAGGTCATTGCAGATTGGACACAAGAGTTCATCGGGGATTGGGTCTGAATCATCCTCAGAGGATGACTGTTCATGTGGAACAAATGGAGGGCGCTCCTTCTTTCCTTGTGCATATGCTTCCCTGTATTAATAAAGATTTGAGTTTTAATTATGAGACATTCGTCACAATAAAAAAAGCAACAATAACCATGTTTGTGGACATATTAGTGAAAACACAAATGTAAAAATAAATTCTGACAGACAACGCTGCTTAATCTGCAGTTTAGTTGACACGTACGCATCTATAGCAGGTATAGCGTATTCTCCAGTGCTGGTCAACATGGCTCCCTTGGTGCCTGGCTCTGCTTTCACCATGAAGCTCTGAGGTATGCCCTTACTAATCCGAACTGGCTTGGGACCCTCCACACTCTTATCCTGGACCTAGAATGTTAAAACCAAAGTAATCTCCATGAAAAAGAACCTCTATATAAAGTTTATAAACCCACAAAGACTATAAAAATAAAATGCATGATAAATACCATCAGCAAGGGGCACTGACGAATGTAGTGACCAGCCTTTCCACAACGAAAGCAGGTATAGTGAGCAGGTGGAGGTCCGACAGCCTTCTTGGAGTAACTATAGAGACAAGTTCAGTTAATTTTTTTAATATCAGCTATCATCCTTTAATAGTGATTCATAATATTAAAATGGGGAACAAAAGTCTGACTCAATAGGAGTCAATAGGAAGGTGTGTGTGTGTGTATACTAACTGTATTGGGTCATATTCGTGGTTGGACTGAGACATCATGGCTTTAATCTTGTCCTCCTCTGATGCATTTGCATCAACCAGGTTAGCAGTCTAAAACACAAAACAGCCAGAGGGGGGAAAGAGAGAATAGCAGGATATGAACTCCATAAGACAAAAAAAAATAAAATAAAATAAAAAAATTGACCCAACTATTCAACTTAGGAAATATTTTCTTGAGGTACAGCCATGTACAAAAACAGTACCTTGGCAAGTTGGGCGAGTGACAAAGAAGGAGAAGAATCAGTCTGCAGGGGAATCAGAGTACAGATATTAAAGTTAACATAATATTTAACTGACATACAGTGGATAAGCGCACAGATTGTACCCTACCCCACCCTGTGCCCAGCTCCTTACAGCCTCCATCTCAGTCTTCACAACAAAACCAAGGTTTTTGTTGAGCACTCAGGCATTTGAATTAATGCAGGTATGAAGGAAATCAAGACACTAGGTTTAAGCACGATGTTCATCCCTGTACTGACAGTACTGTTATAATCTATAAAATGTTAATGTTGTCAAGGCTTAATGTTATCTTTTAGACTGAAAAGGTCTAATTTGAATAAATTAAGAAACTTCCAAAACACTAGGCAAGTACTTTAAAAATTGTTTTCTAAACAAAGAAATGACAAATATGTCCATTAAACAGCTACTTCTTACTAATGCATCTGAGCTGAAGGCATATCTGTTCCCTTACCAGGTGATATTTAACTCTTACAGCCTGTATATAAAATGCATTTCTTGTGCCTTTACTTTCAAGTTTCAAAAAAACACCAACAAAAAAAAAAGCGTAGCAAAAACAAAAACAAACAAAAAAAGCATCGGGACTGTTGAAATGTTAGAGAACACTAAAATGAGTTTCATTAAGAATAAGAAAACTTTTAATCCCAACTACTCTTCCATATGTAGCCTCAACCTGTCTTTATTTTTATGTTCCAACTATGTCCAAGAGCATCTGCTTAAACACATCAAACCTTCCTCGCCACTTGATTTTCCATCAGCAAACTGAAAATGCATACTTATGGCATATCCCTCTAAAGGGATTCTACAGCTTTTCCTCCTTTTGTAAGGAAAGGGCAATTTCCTCAAAAAATACTTGACATTTAATTTTAGTATGCAAGTTCCCTTCACCAGGCTGAAGCAATTTATATTTTTTGCACTGGCTTGTCAAGAAGCATTGTCACGACTGCTCAAACACTCAAAGCCTGTTCACAATGGCTTTCTGTAAACTAATGAGCCAGCACAAGATGGGGCCAAGCTGCTTCAATAAAAATGCAGACCCTGTAAAGTGTCAAATATGTAGAGCTGATAAGACAAATGCAGAGATTTTTCTTAAAAAAAAACAACAACAAAAAAAAAGTTCCCTAAACAGCCCTACCTCCCTACACAGTGAGGGGTGAATGCAGTTGAAGGGATGTCTCTATAATGCAGGTCAGGAGCCAATGGACCATAAATATTTAGCCTCATTCACATCCATATATATTTAACAACAAACAAAAAGGCTGCTTTACATAAACAAACAAGCAGACTTCATGACATTCTGGCTCGGAGGAGATTGGTTATTGCAGAATGCTGTGGAGGGAACACACACAGATCTGGTGCAAGCGGTTCTCACACCGAACCGCTGAACAACTTTATCGACAGG